CAAATATTGCGATATGATTCATGATTCACTGAAAGAAAACTACTAAAATAATGATGATTTGTTGGGGTCTATACCTGACAAACATGTTTTTATTATAACACATTTAACTTTTATCACACAATTGCAGCTTCTGCGATTTGAATATTGCAACATAATATTTAGATTAATTGTGCAGCCATATTTGAAAGCATAAACAATGCATTATTAAAAGCTGCAAAAGATTTGCAAGTACTAAAGTGTTCTTCAATATTCAATTATTGCAGAATGAGGTGTATTTATTCAAGGTTGCATCCAAATGTGCAATTTGCAAGACAGACATCTGTGAGTGGTATAGCACTTGCATGAAGTTGGGTGACTCACAAGAGACAAATTTTAAAAAATCGAAGCAGAGTAAGCCCAAGATATCCTCACTTTTAGTCCCTATAGTATGAGTAAAGCTCCACAAAGACTTCCAATAATGCAACTTGATAATGTCAGAGCCTTCCTCCCTGGTACACTCCACACCTTCAGTTTGTAATGAAAGCTATGTGAAAACTATCCTCTCAAGAAAAACAAAAGATTCAGCTGTTTCAGAAAGGGCCTCAGAATGAAATATATTTACATCAAAGTGACAAAGCCATCAAGCGGCCGTAGTAATAATGACGCAAGGAAAGGAGGAAGTTACAGAGCAACAAAATCTGTGTAGGTAGGAGCTCAGGGTGGATGGATGGGTCAGCAAAACAAACAGACATTTACGCTGGAGATCGTTGTTGAATTCCTGTTTCAAACAGACAGTCAACACCGGTTTCTTTTAACCATGGCTACAATCAAACCTCAACCACATGGTTATTACTGCTACCATGGCAAAAAAGGTCCCCTGACCTTAACGAAGTAGTCATTTTAACCTAAACAGTGAACCTTTTGTTGTTTAAGTGCCTGAACCTAAACAAAGCTAAACCACAGCATCGTCTCATTATAAAACAGTTTCAGAAGGAACAGACAGACAGGATGACATCGCTGGGCCGTCATAGGTTATTTTCCCAGGCGTGACAAAGCCTGTCCAGAGCCACGTAGGGCCTTATACAGCTGTTTTCCCTGGCGTAGTAGGACTAACCATGGCTATTAAACTGATTTCAATGTGTTATAATTCAAGGAGTTCCGCTCAGGCAGAGCAAATGGACAGCTACATGATTATTCTCGAGAACAAATTTTCTTAACTCACAATTGAGCCTGTCGGGAGCGTTGCACTACTTCTAAAGACATTTCTCTTTTACCCACTAATACAGATGATACCGCTCAAGCTCTAGTCTAAAAACTCTGTTATAATTTTGCTCCACATCTCTGCTCCTCCTTTGTTCGACATCAATAATACACGAACGGTATATTTTCACCCTCCTTAGAACCAATCAATCACTGGCTGGTCAGTGCTCGCTCTTCACTGCTTTTCCTTACTGTAGTTTCAGGCTGGGCTTCGGGGGAACACTGTACCAAGACAGAGACTAAGATGGGGTATGGGCAGCCAAAGTCAAGATCAAGACACAGTGCTGGTATTAGTATGACCTGATCGAGAACTGATAGCCTGATTTTAGTTCCACAGCCCCAAAGGACCTTCTGCTGGGATGAATTACCATTTGCACAGGCGGCCTCATGTGATGTGTCTATATGTGGCACTGCCTATGGTGGAAATGGGAAAGAGGTCAAAGGTGAGGGGAAACACTGAAATCGATCCTTCTGAATGTTGTTGGTCATCTGCCAAACGTATAAAGCAGGTTTACACGCAGACACATGCATAAACACACACGGACACTCACAGATGAGCAACAGTTTACACAAATCTGCAAAAGAAATTATTATTCATTTAAGTTCACTATCAAGCAAAGGTTCTCTGGTTCTTTTCTCTATTCACTATAAACTTAATATATTTTAAATTGTTGGGTGGACAAAACAAGATATTGAAAAATGTCACTCTGTCCTCTGGGAAATAGTATCACTATTTTCACACTTTTTAAACACTAAACAATTAATTTAAATAAATAAATAAAAAATAAAAAAATAAAAAAAAATATATATATATATATATATATAAAGAAATCTTACAGATTAATCAATAATCTGTAGTTACAGTCCTAACCAATAGCTCCTCACAATATACACACAGATACTGTTTACACATAAAGTACAACAGAATGAAGCATGTGTCTGAACTATGCAGATTCTTGGAAACCTCCACGCTTTCTTACAGCCCAGACTTTCTTGCTGTGCCGTGTTTGTACAAAAACTTAAACGGACTTCACCGGCACAGACAAGCACACCATCCCTCCTGCTGACACTGTAGTTTCCCTGCAGGTTGAAACAAATAGCAGGGACTCAAAAGGGACAAAGAGGTCCTGAGCTTTAACAAGTGGTACACGCAGAGCCCGGGTAAGAACGCAAGACCCGCAGTGTTGTCTAAGCAACTGATGAGGTTGGTGACATTTTTCACAGATTAACAGACGTTTCCCGGAACACTATTGTGTTTTAACAAGTTTCATTTGCGCTCTTACCCCTCCCTCTTTCCCTTTTCTTGGTATAGTACAAAACAAGACTTTCAGTTGAGTCTGTGTATTGCTAATTTCAGGTTTCCAGGAGGAGAGGAGTGCCAGGTCTGAATTAACATACAGCTGTTACACATGCGGCTGAACGCTTAAAGAAGTGCCTCGCCATAGGAGACAGTCGACATACAGAGGTGAAACAGTTTTACAATAATGTAACCTGAACCATTTAGACGGCGGGATGTTAACCCAGGACTTTTATCTAGGAGAGAAATCAATCTCTTTGAGGATGCGTCTCATGTGCAGCTGTGACAGCAACAAGGAAGGTTGAGGAGCGTGGTGGGACTTAAGTGGGTGCCTGTGCAGAGCCATTACGGTGGAGAGCTACTTCACCCCTTTTCCATACACACTCCAACACACACCTGCGAAGAGAGGCTCTCTAGAAGCAGCGCATCTGTTCCAGCGTCCCCTGTTACAATGCAGGACTAATTAAAGGATCAGGGGAAGTTAGCACGGCGCCCCACACAGCAGTGTATGGCTCAATTTAATTACAATAGATCAACGCCACCTTAATTGAGCTTCATCGCACAGTGAATTTTTCTCACACATGGTACGGCTCTCAGAATGGTGAGCACCTCACATGTAATTAATCAAAACAAATGCACAGCTCAGGGTGATACAGTATCATCAGGGAATGATGCACTCAGCTAGACATATGTGCACCCAACATATATCATGTCAAAGTGCAAGGATTTTTCAAAAGCCTAGTAACATTTAAGTCTCTAGTACGTCGGTTAAAACGGCAAACATAAAACAGCCCATAACAGAGGTGGCTCACTTCTAAAGTCGGTCCAGCTCCGTCTTTGAGGCCGTGGCATCTGAAACATGATCTTGGCATCTCAGTGAGCCTGCCCTGCCTTCTCTGACAGAGAAATAACAACAACGGCAGAGCTGCCATCCACTCCGACAAAGAGTAATGTCAGGGAGAATGTCACCCACACAACTACCCTGCAAAGGCCACAGCTCTAATGAGAAACACGCACACACACAGCATGCAGTTCAGCGTGTGCTGCAAAGTTGTGTTTGCAGTCCCCGGGGAGGAAGGAAGAACCAAATCGAGAGAAGTGAAAGAGGTGAAGGACAAAGCGGTTGCTGATCTGCACTCACTAATGTGCTGATAGTACATGATGAGAACACGTATGAGAGCCGTGGCTCTGTGGCGGGATTTCCCTCTGTTATAAACACATGATGGCATTGGCAGGGAGACTGCTGTACTTGTCTAAACAACGACACAGAAAGCACGGCCCGGTCCAAGGAGCTTCCACACATAATGCTCTGTCCACTATGTGCCAGAAACAGCTGGGTGACAGCTGCTGGTGCACAACTGTCCTGGGATTCACTTAAGAAGAGATTGAAATATACTGACACACTTAGGAAACAGAGTGAACTTTAATTTGAGACACTTAAAGCCTTACCACTGACACCAAACTTTAGGATTATTTATTTAGTTATTAAAGAGGTTAAATCTAATCTGAAACCAAATGACAGTTCAGTAATGTTGCGACAAAATGAGCGCTGTATACGTCATATATTAGTCCTGAGTTTGTCTGACAGAAGAGAACAGCCAACGCTACCAGTGAGCTCATACTTTTCCAGTGTTTACATATTGTATACATTATAGAGTATATGGTACACGGGTACTTAAAAGCCCTGACAGAATACTTTCTACAGTACAGCGGGGGAGTTGTTTTAGTTTGAGCTCTGTGTTTACTGCATGTGTTTAATTGGTAAGATTATCCTTCAACTGGTTAAAAAGCTGCCACGTAATGGGTTCAGAATGGGTTCAAGTCTTTTCTTTTTTTTCTTTACTTGTGCATTATTTACTTCACCTGTCAGAAAAGTGCTGCAACCAACGAGTCCAGTCACAGAAAAGTTTTAAGCACACTAATGTTTTTTTTTTTTTCAAGACAGGCCTTTCCAGTACACCATTCACACCTCTCTGTCATTTCAACTCATCAGTCAAGCAAAAACAAGAAACATAATGCAAAGTAAATCATTTAAAAGTATGACTATCAGCAGGCATCAAAAATGTTTACAAGGGGATTTTGATTTCTTAAATAAATGCCCCCTGTGGATTTGGACAAATTCAATTTAATATCCAAGGTCCTCCTGATGATTTAATCAGACAGAGACAGGGGGAAATTGAACAGAAGACCCCGTGTTGTGATGATGTATGGCATATGATGTGCTAATTGCCGCATAAGCAACTCTGTTTGGTTAATTGGAAAATTCATCAAACGACTGCTGGCGTGTAGTGATCAAAGCACATGTTGGAAATAAGTAAAGAAGCCTCGTAGCTTCACTCACTAACTTCTTAAGACTTTAAAAAGTTGTTGAAAGGAAAAGGAAAAGACAGAAAATTGCCACATGTGGAGTTTTTACTTGATTTGGTCCCTGACCCGTGAGAGAAAACAGTGATGATAAACTTACATGAATGCGTGATAGATGAATGCGCATCCTCTTGGTCTTTCCAGCACGTTGTACAGACAGTTTTGCAACTTCCTGTAGCGTTTGCTAGAGGCAGACGTGTTGGCCCGGGGTCCCGGCGGCCCGGGCAGCGGGGTACCCAGCAGACCTGTGCGGTGAGACGGGTGTCCGCGCTCCGGGGTGGACGGCTCGCTTCTCTCCGTGTGGACAGCGGTGAGAGCCACAAACTCTACCCGCCTGTCGTCGCTCGGAGCCGGGGGCACCAGCATTCTGATGCCGCCGTTGTTTGACGGACTTCCTAACATCTTCAGGAAGACACGATTAAACTACATATGATCTGACACTTCTCACTGGATCATCCGCAGGAGCGCAGAGCAAAGTTTTGACCCAGTCATAGTCCGGTTTTGTCTTGGCTTTAAAGTGGACTAAAACTAGTCTACGGATCAAAACGCATGAGTAAATATCATCCCTGCTGCGTTTCAGTGCTGGTTTGATGAGTTCAGATTTTAAAAAGTTATCTGTAAATCAAGTCACGGTCGCAAAAGAAAAGATGCACAATACTGGGACAAGTGCGTCGCGCAGAAACGTGACCTTCAGCGATCATTGTCAAGAGTCAAGATGTGGGAAATGCTCAGCGGGGGTGCAGAGAAGTAACAACACATGCACTGACTCCAAGAAAAACAACCTAGTTGACACTGTAGCGACCTGCCATCACTCTGCAGAAATGATCTTTTACGCATAAATACACTTCAAACCAGCAGCGGTAGATCCCTAAACAAGGACTACGAAGCGAGCGAGCGCAGATGGGCATGCAGTGGATCTGTGTTCTCCAAAAACCAACTCTATCCAACTACAATAACCGGCGTTCTTTTCATTAACTTTTGTCTGAGCTGTTTCTACAGTTTTGAATTGGCGGAGTGAGACTCGCTACAGCCGCTGTCATCATAAGCCCGCTCTGCTCTCCCCTCCCTGTGCGTCTCTCTGGTCCAGCGCTCCTCCGCTCCGGCAGGCAGGCGGGGTGGAGCGCGCAGAAGTAAAGACCATCAGCGTGATGTCAAGAATCGCAGACGAGCAACTCTTAAGAAGTCGAGTAGAACATGACAAATAAACGCCTGTCGATGCTTGCATCTAGTGTGTGTAAGTGCTTACAAATGTGACAACCCCCCCTCTTCCTCTTCCTCCTCCTCCCCCCACACCCCTCCCCTCCCCTCTCTGGTGAGTGCAGAAAGAGGTGCGCTTGCGAGAGGCGAGGACTCCGTGCACGGGATGGGTGTGAGATGCACGCAGTGTTATTATGTGAGAGGAAGACAGTTATGTTGTTTTTGAAGCTTTCCCAGAAGTGTGAGAGGTTTCTATAACTTTGATAAGAACTGCTGGTTGGGCATATGAAGCTAAAGGCTATTAAAAAATTATCCAGTGGGTAGTTTATAAGTCCCAGGTTTATTCTCTAAGCCTCCCAAAACATACAGTTTAATGACCAGGGATTGAAGCAACAAATGTTTCCTTTGTCTTTCCTCTGAAATGAAAATGTCACTCGTGCTTTACTGTGGGAGGGGGGCTTGAATCCATGCCTACAAGCGTTAGGGACAGCAGAGACAGGTGCTGGGGGACACAGCGACACCGACTGCAGCCTCCTCCTCCTCAGTGGACAGAGCTTTCTAAATCTATGACTGTGACACACAAGGAGGCCTGTGGTTATGACACAAATACTAGGGTTATGGAGCCCGGTGCCCTGTAGAGAGATCACCTGTCATGAGGGGCCTCTGAGGAATGCATTGCGAGGTGGTCCCCAAACTCCTGCTGGAACTCATTGTTTCATCTGACCACCAAAAGTGACATCAGCAAAGATCATTCATTTTCAGCTAAAACAAGAAGCACTCGGACCAACGTAAACCTGGAGCTACTGGTTGTTAAATACCAGAGTTGAAAAAGAAACGACGAGTTTGGTATTTCAAAACAAAGAGGAACAAATCTGCTCCCTTTCCCTGGAACCTCATCGCTCACCTCCCTGGTCCCCCCACTTGAGTGAATAATTCCTCAATGACAACACTATTGTTTAGTGTAATATATGTAATATTACTGCCTGCATCAAAGAGAGAAACTGACCATCTCCCACAGACATGCGTTCAGCATTCTGTAGAGTCTTCCACAACAGAGGCAGGATACTAATGCTAACTATGTGCTGCAGTTTATGGGACATGCAGGTCTGTGCAATGACGTGTGGGAATGCAGCTGGAGTCTCTCACAAGTCACAAATCTAGACATTATTCCCAGGGCCCACTCCCATTACATAACTTACCATCACTGATCCTTAGCTCTTTACTCAGCGTCACACATATAGACTGTTGGACTTACTGTTGGCTATGAGATGAAATCAACTGTTGACAGCTGTACTTCTTATGGCAACGTGTTAATACAGACTGGGGGACAGGCTGACATGACAAAATCAGTCTGAAATGTAAGGGCAAGTTTTCCAAATGAGGTGTATTGAATTGTTTTTTTGCAGGTTAGAGTATGTTTATGACAGTGGCAACAAAATGATTAATCAAATAACCATTTTAGCTTATTAGACCTGACTACTAATGCAGGAGGCAAAGTGCACTGAAGTCCTGTGTGCCAATTGCACAAATAATCTATTTTAAAGGCTATAATATATAATGATGTAAAGGTTAACAAAAGTGTCATCCCCTATCAATTTCTGCCCACATGTCTGATTATGTTAAACCAAATTCAAACCAGCTATCGCACTCAAACTGATTGTTGGTACTGGTTCTGGTTCCAGACAAAACTAAATCCAGCTTACTTAACTTCTGGTGCCACGGTTTGGAAATATAAAACATGCTTTTATTTTGGTTTATGATCAGTTAAGAAGCACATAAACAGCTGATATCTAATTTATAAATGAAACAAATGACTTATATGTGAATTTAGGTCTAATTTACGTGGCACTCGGCCTTTGAGCAAAGGTGAAATTCACCTCCCACAGGTGTAAGCGAAGGTGTATATTCTGCCTTCTTAGAATAGTAATGTAGATGTAAACAACAGAAAGATAAAGGACAGGGGATCTAATTTGGGAAGTTCGTCTATCAGTAACAGTCTTGTGGAACCTAACCACAAGAAAGGAGGAGGTTACTATCTGAACATCAACACAATGGCTTCCTGTACTGGGAATCTCCCACTACAACCCTTCTGTCTGTTAGCCTGGTTTCCTCTCCTCCTCCAGCTCCCCTTGCCTGCCCTCCTCTCATCTCTCAGCAGTCCAAACCAGGCCGGGGGGCCGGGGGGGGCACGAAGGAAGAAGGTGATGACGGACAGGCCGGTCCTGTTGTACCCTCAGGGATTTACATCAAAGTTTCACCGAGGCAAAACCATGCCCCCTAACTTTCTATTGCAGTACCAACCCTGCTCCAGTGTTACAATCATCCAGCAATCAACACTTAAGAGTTGGGCAGAGTATCCAACGTGGCCTCTGGGATAAAGGCCGCCCTAGTGACGACACGCAACAGCTGAGCAAGGTCAGACTGTAAAAATCTGAGAGTGGAATGGATGGTTGAAATGTGCCCAACCGGACCATAAGGAAAGGGCTCACACACGCTCATATACACAGATTTGGTGGCACTCAGGGTGGAATTACAGTCGGGGATGACCCAGAACTGACACCAGCAGTGTTGGGAGCCGGCTGTTGTGTTCCCCACCTCTCCCCTCTCTGTTGTTTTTCCACAACACTCCTCACTTCGAGCATTCACTCACGCCCCACAGAGCCCGCTGAGCTCCGGGAGTTGACAGCCACTCAGGGAATCTATGGGAACTTAAAAATACTCACATCAGCAATTGTGCGCTACACATAGTACAGTGCAAACTCACTCCGTCCGACCCCCACCAACCTTTTATTTCCGCTGTGCACTTGGACGTTTCCTTAAGCCACTTAATGGCTTTCCCAGCCAGCACTCTTGTTTGCCTTTATTTAATCTCCTTTCTCTTCTCCTTTTTTTTATCAGTTTCCTCCTCTTTAACCCACATTTTTCTAAATGGAAAACATCAGAGGGACTAAGAGAAAGGGGAGGAGAAGGGGGGCAGATTAATTGTTGATATATTTTCTGTTGTGTTGGATTAATGTTGGTGTAATAAGCCTGGTTATAGTCTTTGGAGAGATGAGCTGACACCTCACTAAGCAACACACTCCAACCATCATGTAGATGCTGTAAAAATGTCAACTGACGTGAGGCAGCTTTCCTGTGTTAATCAAGCTGACAATCTGCCATTCTGCAGTATGAATATGTAAGCGGCAACCACTACATCCGGTGACTGAGTCAGGAAATTACAGTTTCAGTTGAGACCTCACTCACTGGCCCATTCATGGCCAGTCAAAATATCTTTTGTAACTTACTACTCTTAGTGCTTTTACAGCAGTGACTGAGCACGCTCCTACTAGGAGCGTGCAGTGTGTTACTGACAACCTTTTATAGGGGTGGAGGGGACTGCAGAGTAGACACTACCTCACTTACGTCACGCAAAAACAGACCCAAACCAAACTACTCTGAAAAAGAAGTAGCATTAAGTGTTGGAACCTGGCTGATCTCAAATCATAAAAAGGTCAGATGACTCACCTCAGTTCACAAGGAGTAAAATATCAGCCTTTTATATACTTAATATAGTGTACACTTTTAGATTGTTTAAGGTGGGCCTTTTTTTAGGTAGCTAAAATAATTTTTTCTGCTGACTACCACTCTTGTCTGCTTGTCCAAACAGGGGGCATGCTGAGCAGCATCTACTGTAAGTAATACACTGACTATGGATTGGTTCCTCATACATCCCCACTTCAAAAAACCAAACCTATCCCTTTAAAGTTTTTAAAAGGATTTTTAATTTTGCCTCATGAACACAATGTTTGTCAATTACCCTGAATTAACTTGGATGATTAGGGCAATGGTGTATTAAGAAGGCAGTCAGTGAACTGTTGGACTCTATGTCAGCATATTATATAGTGCTGTTGACAGGGTATCAGCATATTATACCTTCTTCCTCATGAATTAAAACTACTTGTCTGAGGACAGAGTGTATGTTAAAATGCCAAGAATATAATAAGTTCTGTGCCTTTTATCATATGAACTGACAGTACCCTCACTCTAAATGAATACATGGTCATAAATTCAGTCTTTTTTCTTACTAAAATCAAACAATTAATACCCATATAAACAAACTTTGGAGATTTTAATACAGTTTAAGGCTTTTTTTAATATGTGTTGCCAGTATGTTCTTGTTAAGGGAGATACGAGAATTTCACTGCATGGATCATTGAACTGTCACATTATTCTTATACAACACTGAAATGCCACGACCTGGGAAAAACTTGCATTATGGTTTGATGGTGATTAAAAGAAACTCTACCGACACCTCGGCAAAAGAGAAAAGAGGATCAAACACAAACCCCATCTTAGTGAATGTCCACTCCAGTTATGGGTTTGTCCCTAAATTGGTGAGACCAACTGGTGTTGTAGCCCAATCACAAGGTCCAGACAGTCAGCTCCAATTCATCTGACCAAGGTTGCCTTGATCTGACCGGACGAGCCAGCCAAGAAAAATACCAGCAGACAATCCTTTTCATGCTTGACTTAAGCTCAAACATTCTCACAATCCTCGCCGCTCTTATTAGAAAGAGCCGAGAATGAGTCTGCACTCATTAATGCAGTTATTGTTCAGTGATTAAGTCGATTAAGAAAGGGCCCTCCGGTTTGACTAATGTTCACTTGTGGCTTTGACTACCGTGGCTTATCTGGACAGTTGTGTAAGTTAGCAGTCACCATGTCTGGGGAAATGCGTTTTTTAAATGGCTGTATATGAAAGCTCTTCAAAGTGACACTACTGAGCTTCGACTTTCAACACTGACACCATGTATGAGAGCTTTTACTTGGTGTAAAGTGGGACACTGTGAGCACCCTGCATCTCTCTGCCTGCTTAATTTTCTCTTCCACCATAATTACTTCTCTTCCTTTTAAGATTTAGGTCGGATAAGGAATGCAGTCTGATCTCGCAGGAGCTGAGCAGTCTCCAGCCAAATAACTCGTGACTCTATTGTTAACCGCTTGCCCTTTTTAGAGCATGAAGCTTTTCCAGCACTCGAGGAGGGCGGCAGAAATAAGATTAGT